GCCTTCTCACACAGCTGGATTACGAGTGTCCGTTGGTGATCACGTACCGAGTAAGGCAGTAGAAGCGTTTGTGGTTGTTGTTGAACGCCGCGCTAGGCACTCCTTAAATGGTCTGTCTACGGCCTGTACGTAATTGAGTCGGGACCAGACAATTCAGCTGCTCACATTATAAGCAACGACCCCCAATGTGGAAATACAATGCCACGCTGTCAACCATGACACCCAGCCTAACCACCCGATCATTTAGCCATTCATTAATTTAGGACCAATCTGTGAATCCTCATGGAAGGACTAATACGACTTAATAAGATGCTGATAGACGACTGCATGACCACCTTCTGTATCTCTTCATGCATGAGCCAGATCATTTACAACTGTATTGCAAATCATATTGATGAAAAGTGACAACTTTATCACTTCAACTTTTCGACAAATTGGAATTGAAAAGAGGCAGTTGGGGGTTTCAATAATGTACTACCACCGACGTAGTTGCTATTTTGATGTGTCTAATGTCGAAGCATGTATTCACTCAAGGATATTGGATTAAGAGCTTTACCATTGAAGTGAAGTTTTATTCACGAATTAAATCAGTTCATATCACCGAGCAGCATCTCCAAAAGGCAAACCATTTAGACATCAAGTCTGATATTGCCGCTCGTCTGTTAAGGCATTAACTGTAGGCGAATTCCACGAATGTGTCCCTATGCCAAATTGCCCCATTACTTGGTGAAGCATGTTTCGCCACAGCGCAGTAAATTCAATTAAATTTCAAATATTTCTATGAAAAGGTATCAACTCTCGGCAAAGCTATTTCTCTCTAAGCACCATCTGAGTAGTAGCAATGTGCGAATGCCCTAACAGAAGTATTCTCCAGCGACATGAAGATCTTCAAAGATCCATATTAAACTGAACAAGCTTAGAAGCCTTCGGGGACCAACTTGTGGTGTAGAATAGCGTTCTTCTCTCGCCATGTAATAAGGGATTAAAGGTGTCAGGATGTTTTCCAGCTCATCATCGCTCTACCTTATAAAGTCTATGCTGCTTTTCCCCAATGATGAGTCTTTTGCATTGCCTTTATCTTTAATCATCGAACATGCTTCAGCCAAGCCAATATAAGATGATTAATGGCCAGAGTAAGGAATACTCTTAAATTTCTGCGTCCCTCTGGGGATTGAGATATTAGCTTCTGACCCACACCGGCTGGTGCAGGTTTTTAAATATATGCGAATTTTATGGTTTAAGTACAGTTGATTTCACCTCTCGTGCGAGATCTGACACAGGGAAAGAATTGCAGTTCATGTTTGTCCTTTGTTGTTGATACTTCAAGGTAAAGAGATTTGTCAGAAGTATAAAGTGCACTTAATGAAATGTTTGTAAAAAAACATTTTCTGGCGTGATTAACCAAAAATATCAAATATTACCTTCCTGATTATGATGACTTGAGTTTGTAATTTTATCCCAGGTGTGTTGTCAACATGATTACTAAACAGAAAGCTAAAGTTCATCAGAGTTTACATTCCAATATTGAGATAGGAAGTGTGTGCATGGCCCGATTTATGCCCAGAGTGGCCACAGCCCGGTGTGGCCACCGAGTTTTCACACCTGTTAATTGCTTGTTAATCCACGATGAGTGACCATCGATACAACTGAACATGCCCGGAGCGATCTTCAATCATGAAGTATATTCATTTAACACATAACACAAATGCATGTTCTCAAAAAAATAATTCTCCTCAGTATTCACTCTTACAACATATTTCCTGCTAGTGTTGATCCACAGGCTAACAAATAGGATTTCATATCACGCAGACACATTACATACTCGAGTCTAAGATTTTAAAAGTGTTTGGTTGTTGTTGACTACCCAGTCGTACATCACACGATTCGCTCTGAGTAGAGCTCATTACCCATTCATGGAACCTTCGACCTTGGGGTCGTATCCAGGTGGAACGTGGTGTTTCTTGCAGTGTGCGGTATAGTTTCCAAATTTTGCTAGCCAGTCGGCCTAGCTATGCCTGAAAGTTACTAGCCCACAAAATAACTCACTAGTCCGAAATTTGAATGTAGACACGACTTTCGTCACTAAGCTGCTAATATGATGAACATTTTTAACAGGCCATAATTTTGCATAATTTAAAAGTGTGTTATAACTTAACAAGTGATATATTTACAAAATGGCCCCATGAAAATTCACTAGCCAGTCTGGCCAGTGACTGTGGAGATTTACTGGCCCGACAGGAATTTTACTAGCCATGGGCCAGCGGGCCAGTGGTTATTTCGCACACTGGTTTCTTGGGGAGTCAGCGGGACAGCTTCTGTGATGAACGTTAAGGAGGTTGGGAATGGTTTCAGGGTGCTATTAGCAATATTGGTCTCAGTAATATAACGGCGGGGGCAACAGAACAACCTTCACACATTGTACCAAATTCAAAGTCTGCATCATTTCAGATGTTCATCCGACACCAAGCTGACACGCCGTCGTGCAATCAGTCGCTTCGGCGGTATAAATCCATAACAAAATATACGCTTCCTATACGCTATCTCGCTTGCCTTCAATTCAGTCCAACAAACAATCGACAAAGGACTTCATAATATGCATTTGGTGTATGGGGAAGATGAAACCCTTGCGCAAGAGTACTAATGTCATGCTGATGTTTCAGTTTTGGTAATCACGCCGAAAGCAAGAAGCGGACTAACCGATTATTACCCGGACGAATCGAGGATTCGAACCCCAGAATTACGCATCATGATCAAGGCGCACCTATCTACAAAGCGCTGTGTAATCATATCAAATCGTCGAAACCCTCTCCATTTATATTCAGAAGCAATATCTGCTGAAATCAGTCGAGCGTATCCACTGGTGACCCATGTAGATTTCTTCAAAGGCTTACAGTGTTATTGCACGTTAGAATGTAGATAGTTTCCTGTGCATTATATAAATCCCTAACGGCCACGTCTCCGCTAAAATATCTTAACAATAACCCATCAAGAGTATGACTTACCCTGTAATCTTTCAGAAAAGCAATCCTATATGTGAAAATCCGGGTATGACTCGGTCTTCAGCAGCCCATGCTTGTCGTAACGGGATCGAGTGGTCAGGCTCGCTGATTTGGTTGACCCATGTCATCGTATCCTGTTTGAGAAGATCGATGCTCATAATGTCGATCACTGGATTGGCTGGACCAGATCGATTATTTACAGACCACCGCCATCTTGCTGGAATATTGATATTGTCACACATACATACATACATACATACATACATACATACATACATACATACATACATACATACATACATACATACATACAAACATACATACATACATACATACATACATACATACATACATACATACATACATACATACATACAATATGAGTCCGAAATGAAGGCTCGCTGGCGTGGTTAAGAGGACATCGTATCCCAATTGTATTGCACTGATGCTCACGATGTCCATCACCGGACTATTTGGTCCAGATTCGATTTTTTTACTGACGGCCGTCATTTAGATGGAATATTGCTAAGTACAGTGTTAACAATATGCAAACAAGCAAACGCTTGTGACAGTAATCGGCAAGTATTCGCGCTTTTCTAAATAAATCCAAGTTGCGGTGATTTTTCATTAACGTCAGAATGAGCTATGTCTTCACACAACCAGATCCCAGTATATTGGTTGATAAGTGATATTGATCGAAGCCTGTTGCGCACTCTACAGTCATGTTAACTCCCAGCAATAAACTGGATTTAATTTGATTGTGGTATCCTTAAAAAGGTATCACACACGATTTGACTTTTAATGTTTGATTTTCGACTGAAGCAGTTTATCATTGAGATGGATTGACTTCATATTTCGTCAGAGAACATTGATAGTCACACGATATTCTGAGGTGGATTTGATGGCGTTCCAGGGGATTGCCTTTGAAGACACAGTACTTGATGTTATCCTGAAGGGAGATTGACGCCCAGCTGCGTCCCTTTGACATGCACGAAACCTGTGTTCGTGAGGTCAAATTTCAGATTCCTCTGATTACGTTTTGTGGTTGGCCTGCATCAAACCCGCGGGGTCCTTTTCAAAGCGTTGATTATTTTCTAAAACTTGCATCTCTGTGGGCTTTCCTCTCACATAACACTTCTAAGAAGTGATATTGTCAAAGAGAGAATTAATACCAATCTGTGTTGACATCGTATCAAATTTTGTGATAGTTTCTGGACTACTGCACCTTTGTATAACATGGAGTCACATATCCTTATAGGAATTATAGTCTGTTGCACAAGCTGTAGGGAGGTCGGGTAGCCAAATGAATAAAGCGTTTTGATCGTCACGCCGAAGACCCGGGTTCGATTCCCCACGTGGGTACAATGTGTGAGGCCCGTGATATATCTGGAATATTGCGTAAAACTGGACTTACACACTCACTTGCACGCTGCAATGACATTTCTGGGACATCAAAATGCGTTTCACACATTGTACTCATTTTGGGAATTGAACCAGCGTAGAAAAAGCATCAACTTAAATTCTAGGGCTGCGCAATATAACCGGTTTACCGGTATTTACCGGTTCAGACATGAAAACGATACGTATTGCGATACGCTGATCGAAAACCGGTATTTTGACATATGCATTCGGAAAACGTCGTAACACTCGGAAATCTTCGGATATTTCCTTGTTTCATTTGAGTCAAATATTATTCACATTTTTATTTTATCATGATTAAAATTTGTTGTTAAAGCTTAATCAAGCCTAGTGATTTTGTTGTGTTTTTGCTCTATAAATCAAGCAGGAACTCGATTATAAGTAGTTTTTTTTTAAAAATACTTCATGCAATATATTGCAATGCATATCGCAATACATGCTTTCGCATCGCAATATATCGCAATACGAATATTCTCTGCAATACCCACCCCTATTAAAATCGCACCATCACTGTTGAAGTGGCTTCGTGATATCCCTACATACTATGACCGCCTAGTCTAACACATGTTTTGTTTGTTGCAGATGGCGTCCGGGATGGCACACAACGTGTCCGGAATGGCTCACAACGTGTCTATTGGCATGGACATCCTGTCCGAAGCTGTTAACCACACAGAGAGCCATGATAGGTCTAAAGTGTATGCAGTTGTTGGTATACTGTCTGTGTTTGCCGTTACCGGAACCATTGGTAATGCCCTTGCATTCTACGTCTTCTATAATCTGAAAAACAAACTGACATCCACGATTTTCATCTTGGCACTAGCCGGAGTAGACTTCATCACCTGTCTGGTTACAATACCATACACGATTGCCGTAGAATACGTTGAATTTTATGTCAAGTATGATGCTGCTTGTAAGTTCTACCATTTCCTCATCACGACAACAATCCCATTTTCGGCATTTATCATGGTTGCCATTGCTGTTGACCGCTATCTCTGTATCTGCCACCCCTTCCTTCATCTCATGACCATCAAACGAGCCCGAATAATTGTCGGCTGTTTGTCTGCTTTCGCACTGGCGTTAGGAGCCACAGCTTGTGTCCACTACAGTGTGTTCAAAATCCAGGATGTCGGACAGCATGTCAACAGCACCTCAAGTCCTGTGAGTGTGGAGTTCACAGCCCGTTCCGGTAGCAACGTAACAGGGCCTGAATACGGCCTCTTGCAACCAACAGATTCGTCCAAGGGAAATTTTTCTATCAGCCGTGGCCTTGAACACAGAGATCGTAACTTTACAGATTTCCCAGAACCACATGAAATGAAACCGCTTGAAGTCTATACCGGACAATGTGTTACAAGAAGCACTACCATTGACCCTATATTTTTTATGGTGTACCAAAGGCTGTACTCGGGCTTTTTCCTTGTGTGTTGTGTGGTAGTGTTCATATTGTACAGCCTCATTTACAAATCTGTCATTTCTCAGAGGCAGAAACGGTTGCGGATTAAGACTCAGAAATGCTGTCTAATGTGGGACGCCGCCAACGTGGACAATGAACAGTCTGAAGTGACAGTCGCCTTAGAACTGAACCACTCTACGACAAATGGAGAAAGTCTTAAGACGCGCCCTGATGAGAGTTTGGTTCCAGAGAACAATGCCCAGAACAGCAACCAGGCGAACTCGTCCCGAGCGCGTCTGGAACGTATGAGAATGGCCAACATTAAAACCGCTATGATGTTATTCGTCGTTACACTGGTCTTCATCATTGCGTTTTCACCTGCATGGCTGATGGTACATCACCTAATCACGATGGACGTTGTGTTTTTCTATATGTACTTCATATACAATGTGGTAAACCCAATCATATATGCTTTTATGAACAATGCTTTTAGAGTTGAGCTTAGAAAGATATTTCACTGCGAATGACAATAGAGGCATTTGGATTGTTTATCACCTACGATTTATGTTGTTAAGAGTATTGATAGTTCTCATGGTAAACATATTTTGTTATTATATCTGTATTGCTTCAAATAAAATGTGTTACATATAGTTTGGTTTTTATCACTCCTGTGCGATGGGGTAGTATAGTGGTTAAAGCGTTCGCTCGTCACGCCGAAGACCCGGGTTCGATTCCCCACATGGGTACAACGTGTGAAGCCCATTTTTGGTGTCCCCCGCCCATATTGCTGGAATATTACCAAAAGCGGCGTAAAAATAGACTCACTCACTCACTCTTATCACTCTGATTCATTGACTTATCCCTCATAATCCCTCATAAACACAGCCACATTTCCCCAGGTCTAAAGCAGCTCCAATGGTTATCTGTGAGAACCAGGATTCAATTCAAGACACTGTGCCTCACATCAAAATCCCTTCATGGCCAGACTCCACCTTACATTGCAGATCTGGTCAACCCCTACAGTCCAGCTCCTAGATTTTCGAAGCTCTCTTAGCGCTAAGATAGTCGTAAGTGTCATTCATTAACATCATTCGTAGCGCTATCGCGAACTTCGAAAATCAAAATCTTCTCACACTCTAACTGCGAACTTCGCTCACGCCGCAGCAATAATCTTCTCATAGTGTCTAACTACAAACTAAAAACGTTTGGCTACAGAACTTTCTCCCACATTGCCCCTGTTTTGTGGAACTTTCTCCCCCTTGAGCTGAGACACTCTGAATCTCTGGACTCTTTTAAATCAAATCTAAAAACCTACCTCTTTACTCAATATCATCATCAATAGCCTTTCTAAACGTTTATGTATTATGCATCTATTCCACTGTAGCGTTTCTTAACTCTGTATATATTATGTATGTATTTTAATGTAGCGCCAAGAGCATGCTTACGAACGTCGATATGTATGCACTATTAGAATCATAATAACAACAGCACTAATTATAAGTGCACATTTTACCTAAGTGAATGCTCGTTCTGCTTCATTATTATTTATCACCCCGGTCAATGAATGAATATGCATTCGAGTTTTATTCTCAGCTTCCTGGGGAGTATACCCACACTATCTGTGCTAGATATATAAGAGGCGTATTACTTCCTCACTCTACTGGGTACCCATTCACCACTGGGTGAACAAACGAATATTCCAAACTTGCCTAAATTGACCTCACATGTGCCAGATATACACCGCAGGACCGAAGCTCAGGAACCTTTCAGAGCAGCGGTCACCCATCAAGCTACTCTTCGCCACCAACTTTGCATTACGTCTCGAGAGCTGTCACCACGTGCCACTGTAAAGCTATCAGTTCTCCCACGTTCTTTAAGATTTCATTTTAGTTTCACGATAGTTAAATGCGTTTACGATGTAAAGGGCGAGTAAGCGATTTGTGTTATACACGACCTTGAACAGTATGGCAGTTACATCATAGGGTGGATCTGTATGTGGGAGGGAAGCCCGAAGTACACACATTTACTTCTTTGGTGAGCAAACAGCATGGTAACAAACCTTAAAACATAATCATCGTGCAGGATTCGAACCCACCTTAAAGGCGTTTTGCACACATTCTCCAGGAATAACCACCTGATCATGGCATATGAAGAATACCTTTAATAGGAATAGAAACAATGAAACTGTTTCCTAAAATATTGGAATGGTAACCTCTTTCTTACACAACTATGTCGGATAACTGGCACGTTGGGCAATTCGTATATGGACAAAGGCCTTTCGGTCACCCAAGGTATTACAGTTAGAGGGACGTTCCTCCGAACGCATTGGCTACAGAAGGCACATACAACCTGATGCAGCATACTGACTCGGGTTTGGTCTACAGCAGCCCTTAATACTATTTACAAATAGCTCGCACCACACACGGCAAGGTTCCCTCTCCACAGAAAGCATAGATACCGGGGAAAGAATGATTTAAATCCGCTTTCAGAATCACTAGTGCTGTTTCAATATCACAAAAATGGCTTTACATACTTCACCATCTTTTCAGTGCCTTTATCATGACGACCAATTAGAACACAAGGCTAACCCACTGCCTCGCTTAGTACCTAACTGTAATAGGTGTTCTTAGTTGGCAGACGGAGTCAGGTGAGAAATGATTGCTTAATCAACGCTCCCCAGAAATGTGTCCTTTGTATCAAGATAGTTCAGAAGGCCAACGAAATGGCATCATCATACAGTTGTATTGGACGCAGAAAATCCTCCCCGATGGCATAGTAGCGAGTTTGATCCTATTTCACTTTAAGCAATATTCTAGCTGCAGCACTCCATTGGACACCTTGAACAGGCTGAATCCATAGGGATCGATAGTATCTTTTGTAGTTGAAATAGAAGTAGAAGTAGTTGGTACTCGAATTAGCTGTAGCCGTAATCGAAGTCGTAGTTGTAGTCGTAGTAGTAGTATTTTAACGCCGCTTTGAACGGTATTCCAGGTTTGACAGCTTGACAGGGAGAAAAGCCGTAAGCGATGCAGATCTAAGAAGTTTACAACATTGGCGGAAGTCATGAATTTAGCAATATAATCGGAATTCTGACCCACCTTAGCTGACTGTGCCATCCGTGCGTTAAGTAGTGGTAGCGGTGGTAGTGGTGGTAGTGGTGGTGGTGGTAGGTGGTGGCGGTAATGGCGGTGGTGGTGGTAGTATGGTAATGGTGGTGGTGGTAGTGGTGGCGGTAGTGGTAGTGGTACTGGTAGTGGCAGTGGTAGTGGTGGTATTATTGGTGGTGGTGGTAGTGGTAATGGTAGTGGTGGTGGTGGTAGTGGCGGTAGTGGTAAGTGGTGGTGATAGTAGTGGTGGCGGTAGTGGTGGTGGTGGTGGTGGTGGTGGTGGGTAGTGGGTGGTGGTGTGGTTGTGGTAGTGGTAGTAGTGGCGGTGGTGGGTAGCGATAATGGTAGTGGTAGTGGTGGTAGTAGTGGTGGTGGTAGTGGTAGGTGAGTGGTAGCTACAGTGGTAGTGGTATTTGTTGTAGAAGTGGTAGTAGTAGTAGCAACGGCAGCAACAGTAGTATTATATGATCTGTGATCGACGCTTACATCATTTAATTTGTATTGAGGAATCTCAGGAAAGTGTATATCAAGTACAATATAACAGATAAAAGTCAGATACAACCCTACCCTGAATAGGGATAAACAACACGATGAATACGTGTTCGGGGTTAACACATGAACCTGTTGGGATTTCAACACTGAATACAGAGAGAATTAATGACTAACACAAGACACACATACATGTATTCCTGCTCTGGAGTTTCACCCTTGTAGTAAAAATCTCGATCCAGCGTCACAGTGCGTTTTCCTGCCGTGCAAAACTTTCACAACGTGAAAGTAATAGTGAAACAACATAACTGCCCAAATCCATGGTAAACTAAAATACGGGGAAAAGGTTAACTAATGACAAACTTCACAGTGAGGTGACTTTTCCGTGAGCACAAATAAGGCAGACAGAGTTATACGCCCTTGAAAAACAAAGTATGTATACATATTACATTGTCAATCGTCAATCATTAATCTATAAGTGGAACACAATTTCGCATCGTTATTCCATTTCGCTCATCAGGATTGGTCAGCTAAACATATATTCCTGTTCTTTATGACTTTGTTTCAAATCTGGATGAATGTGAAGGGAGGATTTTATTTTCAGTTGTGTTTCTTTAGTTAGAATCTTTAAATTTGAACATCCAATGTAAGGTCATTCATTCCTATTGTCTGCAGAAGAGACGGGAAGAATTTAAATATGTTGTTTCCCTTCAAATTCAACACATAATGGAAAGCGGCATTTGAACCGTATAAGTGTTTGTAATGATGCTGCCAGTGAACAAAAATACATGGTGGATTCGCTGAAAGAAACGCTGATCAAGATTCCATAGCCTTGACATTAAGCCAATTGATCTGAGGGAGTCAAATTATTTTTAGACAGTATTCATATTAAAAATACATCCCTTGTGGCAAGATAAAAATGTATTTATTAACCGTACAGGAGAAAGTCTGTACCTTCAGGACGGACAAAACCACAAAGAAATGCAATGCCAACCTTCATCCTTCTCAAAAGATTAGTCATACTGAGAGTATCGGATTTTCAGAAACGCAAAGGTTCTGACACAATTGATGGTCGTCTTTCATGTTCTCTGTTCGTTTCATGGTTCTATATTTGTGGACATCAAGGAGCCGCCATTGATCACTGACAGCCTCATAAATATGACGACATCGTCGTGTGATGCAAGTCCTGGTGGTAGGAGGTTCTGCAAGAGGTTCACAACATCATGACGCAGATATACTGTATATTTTTGTGAAGTTTCTTTCACAACACATTTTGACGTGCATACATTATTCACTGCATCCGTCAGGAAATTCCATTGCATAATTACATATGTATACAGAAACTGTGTTTGTGAGCATTTATACACTTTAACCTTGAACCGTGTATCCATACGTTGGAAAAGATCACAAATTTCCTGCATACTATTTATCTGATAACGTCAATGCGACTGATCCTTGTGAACAAAATGAAGAAGTGCACCCTCAAAATATCTATCGACTGGGTCTGTTGTTAGACTGGCAGTGGAAGTGAGCAACGTATTATTTAGCAATCTATGACTTTACTGAATGATTGGACGACTGATCGATCGATGATAACCAACATCTGGACACATTCAGAAATTTCCTCGGTCACGTTGATCGTATCGGACATTTTGACATGTTGGAGTACTACGATGCACTTGAACGTGATTTATATTACTGTGGAGAAATTGCAGGGAACATACGCTCTTGCTGTTCATTAATTTTTGTTCATTTTCTATATATATTTTGATTGACCATAATTGAATGAAATTAAATTGACACATCCTTCGAGTTATAAAACAGGAATGTAAATACATGTAATACTTTATCATAAGGATCGACTTTCACTATGAAAGTGAGTAAGTGAGTATGGTCTTACGCCGCTTTCAGCAATATTACAGCAACATCACGGCGGGGGACACCTGAAATGGGCTTCACACATTGTACCCATGTGGGGAATCGAACCCGGTCATCAGCGTGACGACTGAACGCTTATATACATAATTCTGTATTCACTATATTTACAAACCATA